AAAAAGCTACTGCTGCAAGGCCTCAGCATGTGTTGGACTTAAGGAAACTTGCTGGTGGACACTGACTGTAGGAGCTGGGCTGGAGAAGATACCTTCCACAGAACAATGTTGCAGGAACGCTGCCTCTGGACCTTCTGAGTAGGAATTTTTGCCCATAGCTCCAGCAATATTTCTGGCTGCTACTGAAGGGCACAATAATGCTGAAACAGAACTTTGTCTGAGGATCTGTCCTCCAAGAATCCTGCACACTCATCCCTCCTTCCTGCAGGTGTTTGAGATCTGCATTAAAACATCAAAAGACACCCCTAGACTAGACAGCCCTAGACTGAGCCTGAATGTTGTCGATGTGCTTATGGGGCAGATACCTGGGCTGGCAACCTTTGAACAGGTAAGGGGCACCAGATTATTTCCAGTGACCCCTCCAGGGGTTATCACTATGGTCTACCTTGCCAATAGGTTATCATTATTAATAATTGTACTTTCAGCTTTATTTTCACTTTTATGTATAAATATTTGTCAGTCATTTGTTTTCACAACTGATAATGCAATCTGATGCTCACCTTATCAACCAGTCCATCATATTTCACCCACTTTTTCTCTTATTCCCTGTTGTCTGCCAACTCAGCTTTTCTGCTTATTGTTTATTTAACAACAAAAATAGTATTTTCAAAACTGTTCTTTCCTGAATGGAAGAGTTCGAAGTCTGCCTCTCTAGAATCCCAGCTCTACATCAAAGGAATTCGATCTTCTCCTTGATTCAACCCCCAACTATGTCACTGCAGTGATCCAGAGGTAGCTGCCAAAGAAGGCCATAAGGCCAGGCTGCTTCAAAATGACTCTCAAGGTGTAGAGCAAAGGAGTCTCTTGTTAGTGCTGTAGCATAAAAAAGTAGGAATTTTCTAGCTATATTTTTCCTATTGTCAGCAGCAACAAGAAGCAGCCAGGTACCTGGTTTACAGACCAACATAGCTCTGCATTTCAGACAGACAAAGGCATTATGGTCAATATCAGGAAATATGTGTATAACTCTATTAGTACAGCCTTTTAATAAATATTAAGCTTTATATGACTAAAAGTTTACATTAAAATGCCCCTAGTTTACATACTTGGCAATAAGGTCCCAGGCACATCAATCTCACACATGTGATTCTTTCTTCAACGTGTAAATAGGTTGGGCACCAGTCAGTCTGATTTAAATAAATATTAAAATGACTTATCACAGGCTGTAACCTATGGAAAAAGGATGAATAGTGAATCAGGATGCCCCAATAAGCAGAGGGTCTCAATCACTAGACTATGCTCTAATCCATTTTAAAGGCCTTCTGTTCCATGTATCACTTTACTCTACTGGACGGATAATCATGGGGATTTGGCTCCTTGGAGATCAGGTCTCTACTGATATCGTATTCCAGGAATCCCAATGCAAGAGAATTGAGAAGGTTTACATGGGAATTCTTATTCTGCCAGGCACATCCCACCTCTCCTGTGGGGAACAGATGCAGTTGCTTTCTCTAGGCCAGATACTCTCAATTCAGCAACCAGCATCTTCAAGATTCCCTCCCAGGAGAGGAGATTCCTGCCTCATACAACCCTTTTTTAAGACCATGGATAAGGAGAAAGACACAAGGTGTGACAATTCAATTCCCCAGAATGGACTGTAAAAAAAAATGTTTGATTACCTATACACTAAGGGCTGTTGTCACTTTTAAATTAGACCCCTTGGGAAGCAACACATGTTTCTAGATGACTTTGCCACTGCCAGAAACAGTCCTGGAATTCATTTTCCAGAACACTGCACAGTATATTTGTTTCTCTGCACTGGATGTCTGGAATAAAGGGGCGGACTGACCATTTGGAAACTCGGGCACTGCCCGAGGGCCCGGGGGCCAGTAGGGGGCCCCATGAGATGCCCCTGGTACCTTTTTCATAGGCTTTTTTGAGTTTGGGCAAGGACACAGGGGCCCCATGATCCCTTATTGCCTGGGGGCCCCATGAGTTGTCAGTCCGCCCCTGCTGGAATGTCATAAAATGTGTGTCATTTTAAGACATTTTTTAATTTTGGAAAAAGCCAAAAGTCCCTGGGTGCTAAGTCAGGGGAATAAGGTGGTTGGTCAAGTTTCGGAATGGATTTCTGAGCCAGGAAATCATGAACACCTAACACATCATGTTCAGGAGCATTATCATGGTGGAGAATCCTTTTGTCAGGCCAGACTTCCAGTCTTTTCCTCTGAACAGATTCCCGTAACCTTTGTCCATATTTGCATCCATCCTTTGCTTTTTTGGCTGCCCATTTCTTGCATCATCGTGGACATTTTCCTGCCCTTCCTTAAACCTAAGCCATTCAAAAACACACTTTTACCAATTTTCACACAAATTTTCATGTTAATTCGCTGCTCCAGGTTCCTGTCACTCATTTTATGCCAACAGCACAATGCACACATGTGTTATCTCTTCTACTACTCCATAAAGAATGAGTCAACTGATCTGTGGCCCAGGCGTGTGCAAGTTAGAACATGTCAAATCACGCTCGAGTGCTACACTGCAGGCATTCCAGGAATTAAATTGTCACACCTCATAGCTAACAACACAATTCTCTCAGACCTAAACCCAAAAGGGAAGAGAGACAAACAAGAAGTGTAGGTGCACTGGTAAGGTGCATTGGAATCCCAATCAAAATGAATGGTACTTCAATACACCCCACAGTAGATTGTGCAATACTATATTTTAGGGGTAACATATGATATCATAATACATACAGTAGTTTTAGTGTGGTAATGATCAGGGGCGGACTGACAACTCATGGGGCCCCCGGGCAATAGGGGATCATGGGGCCCCTGTGTCCTTGCCCAAACTCAAAAAACCCTATGAAAAAGGTACCAGGGGCACCTCATGGGGCCCCCTACTGACCCGAGTTTCCAAATGGTCAGTCCGCCCCTGGTAATGATTACCTGTGTACCTGACCAAGGGCCAAAACCATTTTGTCCATTGTGCAGTGGAAAATAAAACTTTATGAAACCAGTTTATTTGTATTTATGCACAGTAAAACAAATCTTCACAAAACTATTTTATTTGTACATACGTAAATACTGGAAACTAAAAAAGCAAGAATTTTGGTGTGGTGACTTTCTGGACTATATTGATTATATGACAGAGGCAAACCTGCTTGTTTCCTGCACCCTTTTGCAATAGAATTTGAATCCAGTATACACCTCACCTCTTTGGCTTTTACTTATCTCCTTCATGAGTAGATTTCTTATGTTTCATGGCTTCTGGCAGCATTTCAGGAACATTTGATGTATGTATTTTCCTATTTGGAATAAGGAGCTACACATATTTTAGCATTAGTTACTAGTTCAATATAGTTCCTTACTGGCACTAAACTTGCATACTACCCATGCTAGGTAGAAATTAAGATGCCACTTCACTGTTTTGAACTGACTGGAGAGTATCATAAGGTTCAGAAGATCCCCAGGGGATTGAGTAATATTGATACCAACTCTTTAATGATTATTATTAGTTAATGATCTGTTTAATGATTTTTATGAGTATTAAATACATTTATGGAAATTTTAAACAAAAGTTCTTTTGATCTTTTAATCATTTTACTATTACATTTATTAAAAAAAAAATTTACAACCTTGACGGACCAGACAGCTCATGTTGAGAGTGAATTAAGTATGTCATTGTTAGTGGAAAACTTTGTCACAGCTAAGATGAGATTGGACTTAGAAAAGGGGAACCTATTGAAATTTCAAGACCAGAAGGATTTAACATAACAGGTATTCAGGTGGTCTCATCTACCAATCAAATTCTTCTTGAGATTGAGCTCTGCAGTCACTTTTGCATCAGTTGCTTTCTTATTCAGGATCACAATCCTACGCAATGCGCTTTTGTCTTTTTCAGTCAGTTGAGACCATGTCGACCGCGCTTTTGCTTATCAGACAACATTTTCCCAAAAACTTTGTATGCCGTCACAACCTTCGACACTGAATCTCACAATTGGCAACTTCAGTAACAGAGGCACCAGCTGAGCGAGCACCAACAATTTGCCATCTTTGAATACTGTATATATATATATATATATATATATATATATATATATTTATATATATGTGTGTGTAGCCACTTGCGGACCGCCCACCCACAATGTACTGGACGAGCGATCCATGCAGGCAAAGCAACATACTGGTACATTACTGCCTGCTTCCCCCACTGACTGTATACAGCGGGAGTGTGCTAGCAAGTCCTGACCAGGACCTGCTGATCGGCTGTGTTCAATCACAGTCCAGAGTTCTATGTTGACATTCAACACAGGGCTCTGTACAGGGATCAATCTCACTGTTTCTCATCCCTACAGGAATAAAAAACAGTTCTCTTATTAAAAGCAGCACATAATACATACATTACACATTGGTAGGCACACATTTAACCCCTTGATTTCCATAGATGTTAACCCCTTCCCAGCTAGTGTCATTAGTACAGTGACAGTTTATATGGGAGGGTACATCAGCAGAGGGCCAATCAGCACTGTCCAGACAGATGCTCAAGGATCTGCAGCCTCATAGAACAGTCAGAGGAGAATGAAAACTCCTCCTACAAGATTAACCAGTACTCGGCTGGACTGTGATAGAAGTCACAAGATTTCTATATACTGCTGATGAGAAAAGGTTATTTAGCAGTTTTATATTTACTGTTTGTGCAATAAAGCATGCTTGGTATACTCACTGAGGAACCTAAGGAGTTAATCCTCTGCATTGTTGCAAAAAGGCTGTTTGATCCTGTCTTCTCTTCCCCTCCTCTTGTTCAAATGTCCACGCTGATAAGACTGAACCCGTAGCCCTTCAGCACATGCTCAGGTAGTGTGTATTGCTAGAGAGGATTTGTTTCTTGGGAGAGTGCATGGGATCAGCACAGGGCCAATCAACACTGTCCAGACAGAGGTCAGGGGTTCTGCATCCTCCAAGAGCAGAAAGAAAACTCCTCCGACAAGCTTTAACAAGTGCTCATCTGAAGTCATAAGACTGCTCTAACTGCTGATGAGAAAAGGTATTTATCAGTTTATATTTACTAAAATAATTGCACTTCCATGTTCTGTGTACTGTGGGAGACCAGATATAGTGAATGCAGGGTCCGGGGTTTAGTAACACTTTAAGTAGATATATATTTGTGTCCTGAAAAAAAAATGTAAGAAATTACAAAACATTTTTGCTTTTTGCTATTATTTAAAAAAAAAAAAAAAAAAAAAAAAAATATGGGCTTTACATACACTCTAAAAGAGTTGGCCACTTTAAATAAAAAGGGGGCCCACATCAGAAATCACAGGGTACCAGAACGAAAAGATTCTAGACTTCCAGTCACACACAGTTTGATAGCAGACTTACCAGAGCTGATTTGCCAAAGGCATTGAGCATGTTCACATTTTGCAAAAAATCCTGTTTTTTATGTTTTTCCTTTCACATGACTGTTTTCAACGTGAACATAGCTTCACCTCATTAGTTAAGCTAAGTGATCATTCTTTTTGCAGAGTGAACATGCTCTACTCCTTTAGTAAATCAACCCTAATGTGTATATGTGTGTATCTCTCATTTAAGTGTGCTGCTAAAATCCTAGGTTTGACCTGAGATATAACCTTTGGGTTTCAACAAAAAAGCAAACAGCATGTAACTAAGTAATCTTAATATATCAAAGATTAAAAAAATTAAACTAACTGAATTTTAATGCGCTCAGTGGAAATCATAACTTTAGGTAGTGCTTTGTTCCAGTCTATTAAATTGTAGACAGTAAAATTAGAAGGTTTGTTTTGCCAGAGATGTAGATCATAATTTTATCCAGAGTGGTACAACAGTGCCCCCTAGTGTACAACTGTAGGTACTGTGTAAAACTTTATTGTCTGGGAAAGAATGGAGGAAAACTGCACTGAAAATATAAATCTTTTGCAGACTGTAAAAACCACAGTATAATGTAATTATATATAATATAATGAATTATCACTATAAATGCACCATCTGGTAATCAGCATTTTAAATGAGACTCAAAAAGGAAAGCTCGAGTAATTTTTTTTCAATTGAGTGTACCTTAGCTTTACTCTGTTACTTTTCATTATAAATTATTTATTTTTAATTAAAATAAATGTAAACCCAAACCAAAGGGCATTTTGTTTGTCAGAGCTCCGTGTACCATAAACAACTGCAATATTTTTTTTTAAGTTACGGCTTTTTTTTCAGGGCAGGTTTTCTGATGGTAACAGCAAAAGGACACTCCTTGAATAATGTATGTTGAGATGTTTATTTTTAGGAACAGAGCATTGTCACCCTCTCCAATAGGAACTGCCTAAATGAAGACCTTCATGGCAAGGTCATGATCTGTTGTTTTAATGAAAGCTGTAAATTTCACAATACACTGTATGTAGCACTCAGCCCTGAAAGGGCCCACTGATTTTGTCCCAGGTTCTTTACCCATACTAGTGTAGTTGCAGCCAGATACACTGTAATAGTCACTCTTCTGGCTCAATGAACAGTCTAGGGTATCTTTTTGATGATTATTGTACGTTGAACTTGGATAGAGTGCAGGGAGGCTGTGGGATACTCTAGTAACACTATGTAAAAACACAAGGACACTTCTCAAAACTTATTAGTTACAGTCCCTCCAGCAACAACCAAGGGACACCATAGGATATGTCTCACTTTAGGCAATCTCTGGCACTTAGGCACAAGCGAAGGAAACAGCACACACTCACTAGGATCCTACATGTACATGACCCAGAACATGTTACAAATATAAGATGGCGACGGAGCAACATGCTATCAGAGAGCTCCGTCGCCCCACTGCCTAATCCGCTGCCATCCGGGCGGCAACGGACACTACGAGGGCCCCGACACACCTGCGGCCCCTAGCGAAGCACCCGGGAGGGGTCCCGAGCAGTTTTGGCCCCCTCCGAAAATTGCGGCCTACTAAAACCGGCGATTTACTCGTGGGCCCGACTTGCGGCACCGCCGCCGAATCGAGGCGCCGCCGCTCCGTCCCTCGGCTCCTGCCCTCTGACACACAGCGGGGTGGTCCTCCCCAGGCACAGCCCCTGACCCTCTCCACCGTCTCCAGGGCCACAGCAACCTGACGCAAGGCGACAACGACCATCTCACCAAAGATCTGCCTAGCAAGGACCACCAAGCTGACAGCAGCCCAGGACCACCCCAGGATACCTGCACGGCAGCACCACCAGAACGGGTAAGCTGCCACAACCGATCCCCACAGACTTGCCAGCCTCCGCAGGGCCTCCTCACTAGCCCTGTGTCCATCCCTGACCACCAGGAACCAGCTCAGGCCCACTGATCACTGCTCCGCTGCCCAGCCCATACATCGGCTCTGGGCCCCCCTGGACACCCTGCACCCAGCTACCGGGCACCCAGCTAACATCTCTGGACACCCAGCACCCAGCTACCGGGCACCCAGCTACCACCCCTGGACACCCAGCACCCAGCTACCAGGCTCCCAGCCACCACCCCTGGACACCCAGCTACCAGGCTCCCAGCTACCACCCCTGGACACCCAGCACCCAGCTACCGGGCACCCAGCTACCACCTCTGGACACCCAACACCCGGACCACCCAGCGAATCGAGACGTCGCCCAGCGAATCTCCCGGACCCAGACCCGTACCACCCAGCGAATCTCCAGTCACCGAGCCGCCAGCATCACCAGACGCCGTGCCTACCAACGCCCCCAGACATCGCACCCTACGACCCCTCCACTCACCGATCCACCGGACCCACTGAAGACCCTTGGACGCCAGCATACTGCACCCACAGATTGCAGCCAGCCAGCTGCTGGACTTTACTCCCACTCTCCCCCTACAGAAGGACTCTAGTGGACTCCTCCACGGTGATACAGACTCTCCACATCACCTCGCCCTGACCCATATCCCTTCACCTCCCCTGACCCGAACAGCACTGCACCCACCCCAGCATGCCACCTGCACTTCTCCTCCTCGTTTTCCTCTCCTCCATCCCAAAAATCGCCTCCCTCTACCCCTGCCCTCCCCCCAAAGCAGCTCTACATTGCCCCTTCACTTCTGCCTCTCCCCACTACGGCACTCACCACCTCCTCCTGGTACTAAAAAAAACTCACTCCCGGGTCGACCCATCGTGCCACCACTACCAGACCCACACGCTCCTGCAATCCTCGCCTTC